GATTTAGGATGATGTGTTCTAAGTTAGTGTTATGTATTGTTATGACAAGTAACGTGTTTCTCGCAAGTAGTGCAGTGTTTATGAATTGAATTGGCAAGTTAGTGTTATGTATTGAATTGGCAAACCTTAACATTCATAACGTGATGCATTTGTTTAACAAGGCAGGACTTAACAACCAAAGGAGATACCATAAATTACATCCATTTTCTACCGTCCTAACATCCATCTACTAACATTCATAATTTCCATTACATCCAATGTATGCCATCCTAACATCCAGCTACTAAAACTACTCCGAAAGGTGGACATAGCCCACGAGTCACATAGCAAAAAAAGCTCCACCGACTGCATCCATAACACCCATTGTAAGAAAAAGTCGTGACTCATGGTGACTTTGGCATCTAAGGTTGTGTCGGAGGCGGCTGACTTCCTTGGGCATCCATCTCAGTTGGCTGAGTACCTCCAGGCTCCAGCAGGACGACCCCGTGATCCATTCAACTGAAACAGATCATGAAGTTAGCAAAAACTCACAACAATGGGGTACCAACCATCATTCCAAAGAAAGAGCATAACTCAATCTTACCCTCACGTATTGATTCCCAGTTGCCTCACTTACATACACCCCTATCCCTCTTGTTGCAACTCGCATCTCACGCTCAATCGTCCTTCGATCTCCCACATTCAACACAACATCCTAGAATTCAAATGACCACACAACATTCCACACAACATCAAATGACCACGTATTCAAAAAGAGGTACTTGTATTCGTTATTTTTTCATGAAGGCTTACTTGTATTCCATTTCCTTGGTTGAGGGGGCAGGTTCTCGCATTATGGGTCGCTGATTGACACCTAGAGCAATGGAGAACTCGCTTCCTCCTTGTGTCAGGGACAGTTGGGGCAGCATTGTTGTTTCCAGCAGGAACAGTTGAGGCAGCAGTGTTATTTCCAGCTAGAACAGTTGAGGCAGCACTGTTTCCTCCACCAGTAGGAGTTCCAGCAGTGCGAGAAGCCCTTCTTGGTACTGTTCGAGCACGTCTTGCTTCATTTCGAGTGTTAGCCTGAAAAGTATAATGCCCCAATGTTAGTAAGAAATCAATCAACAATAAACTATTACATGTACAACTCAAACTCATGCATACCTGAATCTCAGCTTCTGTAGCTTTGCAGCCCCTCGAGTTATGCCCCTCAACAACACATTTCTTGCAATGTATGATACTCCCCCTTCTAGTTACCTCCTCGCCAACCCATTCCGGTGAGGTCTCGTTTCCAACTCATGAGCATCCCTTTGTCGCTTCTTCTTAGGCCTTCCCGGCATGGCTCTTTGCTTCAGAGGATGAACTAGAAGACCAATAGCATCGGGCCAAGCCTGCCTGCCATCTAAGCAAGGGATGCCAACCCTGTAGCCTCCCTCAACATGGTGGGCCTTGTAACAAGGATGTACATAATTGTCCACCTCATTCCTCATATGTGAAATTCCCGAGACAGCATGGCAACAAGGCAGCCAACTCAATTGCCAGTATCCACATGTATAGCTCATATCATTTAGGTCCACTAAGTAGCCATTCTCACCCATCTTCACTTCGCACTTCTCCGCCAATTTCTGCCTAGCAATGCACAACCTAGAAAATTCCTTTTCTTTCTCTACCCTCTTCCTAATTCTAGGGCACAGCATATCTGGGGTGTCCATCAGCATGTTGTACTTAATTACGAACCTATCCATCATGTACAACCTAATACCCTCTAGAATGTCGATTATTCTCAATTCCCTATACATCACAATTGTCCCATTAAACGTCTCACAGATATTGCTTTCAACACTATCACACTTAGACATTGTCGACATGAATGCTCGGCAAAAGGAATGGGGTTCGGCAGCCATGAAATCAGTAAAGGGTGTGGATCCAAGTTCGGTACCTTCAATTGTCTCCATTTCCTTGGTGGCCTTCTTCCAATCATTCTCATTGAAATCATAAACTGCCTTCCAGAACAGTTCACGAACCCGGTCAATTTTGTTCTTTGCCTTCCAATTCGCATAAACATGGCGGGCACACTTGCGATGCTCTGCTTCCGGTAACAGCTCATGAGTTGCTTCAATCAGACCCTACAAGTACAAAGAAAATAGTTAAGGATGGGCAGCAAGTTAAACAAACCAGGAAGTAAGTAAACAAAAAAGGGAGCAAGTTGTTATGAGTCTAACCTCTTGTTGGTCCGATATGATTGTCCAACCCCTACCATCTAATAACCCCAGCTCTTGAGAGAGAATGTTGACAAACCACCTCCAAGATTTCACATTCTCTCCCTCCACGACTGCCCAGGCGATTGGGTACATCTGATTATTTCCATCCTTCCCAACCGCTGAAAGAATCATACCCTTTACCTCCCCCTTCAAGAAACAACCATCAAAACCGATAATTGGCCGACAAGCGAGAAGAAAACCGTCTCGGATGTTTGAGAACATCACAAACATCCTTTGAAAGTAGACCTTTTCTTGTGTGGGATGCGGCTCAACCTCTAGATCGAACTGGCCTAACCTGTCTCGTTTCTTCAGCTCACCCAAGTATGACCGTAGCCTCATGTACTCATCTTTCAAAGAGCTACTCAGGAATCGAATGGCTGCCACTTTCGCCCTGTAACATGTCCTTCTCTTAACCTCAATATTGTGCTTGAGTTTTACTTCAGTCATGATCTGCTCTGGGGCCCATTCAAGATTGATCCTGAACCTCTCTAGCATGTCCATATCAATCCACTTCGCCGTAACTTGATTCACCCGAAGCTGTCTTGAACATGAATGTGCCAGCCCCACATTTCTTACCATAAAAGTCTAGTTCTTCCTAAACCAGTTTGCATACACTTTCCATTTACAGCTCTCATTCTTACACTTCACTTCCCACATCGTAGGGTTAACCCTTGTCCACCTCAAACCTGTCCCATTTGCTACAGAATGCTTCACCACCGCAGTCTTAAACTGGTCAGGATCCTTGAATCTCATGCGAGCGACAGACTCAAACTTACCCTCACACAGAGGATCGTAGTGTGGTGCGTTGTCGAACACATCAGCACTAGCCTCATCAGATATATTACCTCGCACGTGGTCAGACTCCTCGGAAAGTCTGTAGCTCGAATGATTACTTGTCTCCTTACGTGCTTGCTCAGTTGGTGACACTTGTTGAGTTTCAGAAACTTCAACCTCCTCTTCATTCACATCAAACCGTGCTTCTTCAACCTCTTCCTCAAATTCTTCCTCATCAGATTCAACCTCTTCAAACTCGTCCAACTGTTCCACCTCCTCCCCATGACCATCAGCCCTCGTTCTCACAATTCTCTTCCTCATTTGTCCATATTCCCGAAGGTTGTTCCTTGCCTCATGGTACTCATCGTCGGAGGTGTCAGCATCATCGGAGTCATAAACATGGATCATTGGTCGAGCCACAAAAGCAGCAACTGTTCCTTCGTCTGCTAATAGGTAATCAGCAGAATTCCCTTCCTGGTTTGGGTCATTCTCTTCCATTGAACTCACCATCTGTTAGAAGGAAAACACATTCAAATACTATTTTAATCACAATTACTATTATAATCACAATGTTAATGCGTTTTTAATCAGTAAACAACAAAGGAATCATCACCAACAAACATTATACTATCCTAGGATTTTTCAAAGCCAATGACGATTCTGTCCAGTAGCTTTCTAGTTGCTTACCTTCGAATTCAAGGGCAAACTCGCGAAGAGAAGAATTCCGGTGGTCTCGAGTAGACCCCTTTGTATCGCTTTCTGACTTTAATACCAGGTACGAACTATAAAAAGGAAGAAACCAAGCAAAATTTACAACACTGCACTTAAAATCCATCTCATCCATCTCATCGGAGCTCAGTGAATATAACTCGACACTTACCAGTCGAATGAAAGGAAGAAGCCCAGAAATCGCCCTTCGTCGAAAATCAAGATTCTTCAAGATTAGGGTTTTGAACTGGCAACTTCATCTTGGGAATCTTCTCCTTCAATGGTCGATTCCCCCTCACCAATAATGAATCGCGTCGCCGGAACGTGGAGAGGATCTATGATAACCCGCAATGCATGGCCGATTCGATGGAGGGAGTATCGGAAAGGATTTAGGGTTCGTGAATCGGAAAGAAGGAAAGGGGTTTTTCTTCTCGTGGTGGGTTCTTGGATTGGGAAGGCTTTCGCCGTCGTCGACGACTACCAACGCCGATCTGGAGAGGGGGAGCGTCGTAGTTCGTCGCCAGAAAAGATGGGTTTTCTCTGGATATCGAATCGGGGGAAGGGAAGGGGAAAATGAAAAAGTTGGAGAGTGACTGAGGCGTAAAAGATGCATTTACCGTTTCGTCTTTTTTCACGTGGAATTCATTTGTTTGACGAAAAAAGCCATGTTGGATGGCCCATTTCTCCAGTCAGCACTCTAGCTAACACCGTCAAACAATTGGACGAAAGTGGCTATTTCTGGTAATTCTTCAAAAGTGTCTATATTTGGCAAAAACCTCAAAGTTTTGGCTATACAGGTGAATTTGGCCAATCTTTATTCATGTCATTACACAATTTCCTTCTTTTTAGCCATGATTACAAAATTACGAAGATGATATTTCTAAAATTATTCATGGCAGGGACTCATGGGAATAATTTGATTAATTCTACCAACAATTTCATAAGGGCAAATATCATTGTAAAAAAATTGATTGAATCACACATTTAAATCACTGTTTATGTTATCCCAATAATCTCTCATATAAATTCATCGAAAAAATTTGACAAGAGGTGGAGGTAGGATTTCCATTTAAAAAGAGAAGAAGAAATGAAACACTCTCAAAATCAAGCATATTGATGTGGCTATACTACTAGGTAGTGCCACTAAAATATAAATAAGAACTAATTCAACTAGTAAACCTAAACTATAATAAAAGTGTCATTCGTGTTCTAATGACAAAAAATGAGGTCTAATACGCTATTGATAATTTGGTGTGGGTAAAACGACCCCATCGTTAATTAGTGATCGATGATCTCGTTATGACAGTCTTCTCCCCATTTCTTTATCCGATCTCCAGCAATAGAAGCCTGAAACAAATTAAAAACACCATCACCCATATATTGATGATTATTCGTGTTATGCTGTGGTTGTGTTAAATGGTCCCTTATTTATCTTTTATTTTATTTCTTAGTGGAGTAATTTCAATGCATGTACGTTGCAGCTGAGTAACAAAACAATTTGTATAGAATTATAATTACCTCCTTGTTCCAGTTAGTTATGTAGATCATCCAGTAAAGAACAAGTGTTTGTACCACCGTTCCTGCCATCATACCTAACCAGATCCCCTGCGGCATAAAAAAATTGAAAGAGGATGGATGATAACAGATCAGCACGAATTACGACGCAATAGATTCAATGATGTCATGTGTGTGAGATCCTTCTGACAAATAAGATATGTGAGAAAGATAGTCACAGTTGCTGAAATAAAGAAGAATGATCCTTACTGTTATGCCCATATGAAATTTGTAGCCCATAATCAAGCCCAATGGAATCCCAAACAAATAGTAGCACCCAATGTTCACGTACGCCACAACTGCTTGCCATCCAGCCCCAATTGCCACACCTAAAGTTTGCTTTCCATAGACTATTAATTCACTGCAATTTCTGAATTAAATAAGTGTACTACTAATTTAGGAAACTAAAGTATTGATTCATCGGATAATAAATACCGCAGAGAACGGGTTGAACGTTGTTAATGACAATGCACAAAGCGAGTAAAGGAGTTAGATCCTTTACGACCTGCTTCACCGCCAAATTATTGGAGAAGAGAGATGGGTAATAATCTCTAGTGACAACGAGAACGAGTGCGAGGATGATGCCAACCACAAATGACGATATCACAGCAACGGTGAGTGAGAATTTTGCTGTTCTTGGATGACCTGCTCCAAGTTCGTTGGAAATTCTTACACTAAAACAAAAAAAAAAAAGAAAGGGAAGAGAAATAAATTAATTCTACCTTATAAATCATAAATAATGAATATAATATCAATTAGAAAGGTGAATTGTTAAATTACGACAAAGTATAAACCTGATGGCTATGTTCATTCCAAAAGCCGCCATGATGGTCCATCCCAAAATGTTCATGCTGCAAGATTGTAATTAGGTAGTTCAATAGTGATGCCTTGCACAAAAGGCTTGGCCAAATGATTGTTGTCTAGTGTCTAACTCTCACTCATATATGTGAAATTATAAGAACATAGGCCAAACTAAAGAGTAAAGACATAAAATAACCTAGAGTTCGTTTGGCTTTGTGAATTTGGAGTGAGAATTGGGCTCAATTCTCATAGTAGTTGAATTCAACTCTCATGCTTGGGTGTGAAAAAAAGGAATTTGAATAATGTAAATTGGTCTAAATAACCACATATGCGGAAATGCTAATTCGGGCTCATCCCACTCCTCGTAAGTCCAATTCCTGCACATGTACTTGTTTTCTTGTTAATTTTTCCCATGTTATTTTTAAAAACCCAAAACTATATCTCCCTTAAGCTACTGATCTTTCTTCTTCCTTCATTTTCTTTTCTTCCAACTCAAACCATCCCCAATTCCTCTCCATCTTTACCACCTCCTAAAGCAAATCTAGCGTCAAAGATGATGAATGTCCAGTCCAGACGACTAGATCTAACTTCATTTTGAGGTCTTCTAGCCAGAAGTATTTGGCCGCTCTCTTATCCAACAAGGATGCCAACAAGGGATTGGGTAACCTACTATGTGAGTATCCTAGAGGCGATTTCGTCGAATAAAGAGGGAGAACGACCCGTAGCTCAAAGAAGAAGAACAAAAATCCAACTCTAATTGGTGGTCATCAGCGAGAGAAGGAGAAGCTCTTCTTCTAAGGTAAACCTATGATTTCCTCTGCGTCTCCTGTTTGCACTACTATTCCTTTCGTTGATTTGGTTTTCACTAGCTCTATGCACGAGTCACTTCTTTACATTTCACTTGATATACGTTATTTAGCTATTCTTTTAACAAATTTGCATGTTAAATCACTGTGTCTAGGCTACATATAAAATTATTTATGTCTATTTTCGTTCTTATTTGCAAAACATGTATTTTGGCATAGGTATTCACGATATGATGGTTTTCATAGGGGAACCGAACCCACTTTGTCATATTTTATGCCTTTTCAGTGTTTCTGATGATATTCCAAGTCTTACATTCATCTGGGATTGATCAGAAATTGATTCGAGTTCATCCGAGCATAATTGGAAAGCATAGGAGCAAGAAAGGAAGAAAAAGCACACCATGACCACGCCGTGACCATGTTCGTGGCCTTGAAGATCGAGGTTTAGAACAGTGCCCTAGAACTTCATAAGGCAACTGTCAAGGACAGAAAGTTTCGACACTCGGGTCGCGATCTTGGTGCTTTTCGACCGTAAAAAAGATCACGACCGTGACTGATTCAGGCCTGATTGTACATATTTTACCCCTATTTTCCTTAGGCGTTTGTGGCAATTGTGCTCCTAAAAGGGTGGTTTTACGCGAAGTTTCTTGTGTTTTAGCATGTTACAGGATCCAATAAGTGAAACCAACCCCGGAGTCGAAAGTTGGACGAAAAGGAGCGAAAACCGGGAGAAGAGGTGAAAAGAAGGCAATTCATGGCTTTCCTTGGATGTTCACGGTCTGCTTAGACTGTGAAGAGAAGCTTTTGCCCGTGAACATCAAGGCGTCCAAGGCCAAATCTCAAGTTACTGACGCTAATTGAGTTCATGGTCACTAAGACCGTGAACTGGAGCTGTTGCCCATGAACCCGTGCAAGCAAAGCGGTGCGTTTCAACGCCCATCTTGAGTTCACAGACGCGTTTTAGAGTTCACGGCCGTGAACTTACCACAATCCCTGTTTAAAAGAAGAGCTGAAAGGAAGAGAGAGGGGAGAGCCCAAAAGAGTGAGAAAGTCTTATTTTCAAATTTTAGAGAGAGAAAGACGAACCAAAGGAGAAGGAGGCTAGGGTTTTGCTCCAAGAGTGGATTTGAGAAGATTCACCCCAAGAGAAGTTCAGCACAAGTGCAAATAAGATTGGAAGCCTCTCCATGATGGTTTCTACCTCTTCCCCTTGTGTTTCTCCCAATTCTAGCATGGAGTATAATTCTTTTTCACTTGGGTGTTGTGAAACCCTACCTATCTACCATGTAGTTTTTGTTATGTGAATTGAATGAGTGTTTATAGGTGTTGTTTAATTCAATGATTGAGGTATTATTCATGTTGATTGTGCATGTTTGTGCTTAGCAATCTAATTGGCCAATTTAACCTAGACTAGAGAGGGAAAACCCCCTTTCAAGGGAGGCTCAATTGAGTTGGTATTCTTAGGGCTTTTTAAGTCACCTATCTAGGTTAATTTAGGGAAAACCTCGATGTTGGATTAAGAAATTTGGTTAATTGCGATTAAGCCGAACAACCATTGGGTTGAGTGAGAGAGTAAGTCAACCATCGATTGCCTAAATCGAGAGGGCCGAGTGACAGCCTATAATGTATCCCTCGGTTTTACAATCGAGAGTGTGGTCTACGACCATAATTGCGTCCCTAGCGGTTTACGCTCACCTTGGCCATAGCAATCGTTTCGATTCACATACCATGGTAGTAGTTAGGGGGGAAGCGACACCCGAGTGATCCTTCTCACAAAAGAGCTTTCAAAACCATTTACTTTTACCTTGCTTTACTTTATTAGCAAAGTTTTCAACCATAACCGAGTCGCTAGATAAAAATCCTATGTATGAGCATTTTGGAAGCTTTGGTTGCTTATGTATGCCAAAGATATGCATTCTTGCCTCACCAAATGCATTCCATAAGGAAGAGCATGTGTGTTTGTTGGCTATCCCTCTTCTCATCATCGCTACAGGGTTTATCACCTGAAGAGCCATCAAGTTTACACATCCCAGGATGTGTTTTTCCTAGAACATATCTTTCCTTTTCATAAGGGTATCGATAGCATTGGTCAGTCTACTTTCGCATCATACAAGAGCCCAACGATGAAGCACACCATCAAAGTATTGTCCCGTCAGCGATTGATGATTCAGATACCTTCCCATCACCGAGTTCTCCCTCTCCAGTAGTCAAGCCTAATGAACTATCCTCATCCTAACCCCATCCAATGATTATCGGCATGGAAGTCATTGATGTTCAATCTCCTTCATCATCGGGCTCGGACAATTCACCAACCACAACTGGCTCTCTTCCTCTTTGATAGTTGAGCTACCACCATTGTCAAGTCCCTCAGTGTTCCCAGTAGCGTGTTTCGATGCAGTGATCGTATTTCTGGACCATCTATGCGACTGGATGGATACGACACTGATGTCCCGGGGCATGCTCACATGTTTCGCTTGCATTACCCATTAGAGAATTTTGTTGGGTATGGATGTCTCTCTTCCTTCCATCGAGCCTTCCTAGAAGGTGTCCATCACACTATCGAACCACGTTATTTTTATCAAGCGATGAAATACAAGGAGTGGCGTGTTGCAATGCGAGCAGAATTTGAACCTCTAATTGCTAACGACGCATGGACTCTCACTGTCTTTCCACATGGGAAGCATACCATCTGCTATGAATGGTTTATAATCAAGTATAACCTCGATAGTTCCATTGAATAATATGAAGCGTGCCTTGCTGCTAAAGGCTATACCCAAGTTGAAGGTATTAATTATCATGATACCTTTGCTCCTTTCGTCAAACTCGTTATATTTCACTATTTTATAGTTGTGGCTATCCGTAAGGGTTTTATCAAGGTTGTCAACTCGGTTAAGCATGTTGGCTCATTCAAAGCAATTGGGTTGAGGGTTAATGGTCCGACCATTTTCTGCCGGTTTAGCCCATATATATGAAAATGTCATAATATTATTTATACAAATATAAATTATATCAAATCTCATCTAATATATGAGTAATAACATATAACATTACAACAAAATAACAAGTCATACTTGGATTGAACATATAGTGAAAATTCACACACACTTATTTAACATCAATATTAAATGTTTAACTTAGAATTACAAAGATAGGGTTAGGATAGGCGGAAAATAGAAAAAAAAGATGTGTATTTTGTAAACCAAAGGGAAAACGACGTCGTGTTACTTCCAACCCACTAAATTTTGCAGTGGGCCAAGATATCCATGGGTGTGTGTGGCCTGTTTTTCTCATGGGTCAGGGTCAATACGAGTCAACTGGCCAGTCAACCCACAAATTGATAACCTGGGTTTGATCATTCATTAGCTCAACGTTAACAATGCCTTCATGCATTGAGATCTTATCGATCAAGGTTAACAATGCTCTCCTGACTCTTGGTTTTGTCTGAAGCCATTCAAATTATTCTCTCTTCGTTCGCAAGACCTCCACAAGTTTTGTTGATGTTATAATCCTTGCAAGTATCATACATCCTTCATTCAGCGTGTTAAGGATTTTCTTGACCAATAGTTTACAATAAAGGATAGCAGCCCCCTAAAATACTTTTTTCGGCATCTAGGTGGCCTGATCCAAGGATGGCATCATCTTGAACCAATATAAGTATGTTCTCAACTACTATCTGATTGTTGGATCGACGGTGGTTTTCCTATTGCTACACCCATTGAGCAGAATCATGAGTTGGGGCATTTACCATCTCCTCCATTGCACAATCTATCTGGTTATCATCGTTAAGAGGACATCTGTTATACCTCACAGTTACTTTCCCAAACATTCAGTACACTATCAATCTACTCAAGCTAAGTGTCCACAGTCAGACTCAATCTCATGTGGATGCAGCCACATGTGTAATCCGTTACTTGAAGAAGTCACCTAGCTAGGTTCAACCTCAAGCTCATGTTGATTGGAGTGGGTGTTCCACAGCTCGTAGTTCCACCCCTAACTCGTTATTTTATTCTTTTTGCCAATTCTCATGTCTCATGACGTACGAAGAAACAATCTCTTGTCGCTCGGTCGTCCTCCAAAGGAGAGTATTATGCCATCGCCACAATAGTCAGTGAACTTATCTGGTTTTGTTGGTTTCATGTCAAACTTTCTTGTCCATAAATCAATGCCAATCCCCTGCATTACGATAGTCAAGCTTCTCCTCACATGCATCTTTACTAATCCACTTTCCATGGACGCACTCAGCATGTTAAAATGGATTGCTACTTCGTTTGTGAACGAGTTCAAACCTCTCACATTGCTCCTTGTAAGATAGCCACTAACAAGTAATCTAGGGATCTCACCAAAGATCTTGGTCTTTACCAATTTTCCCATCATCTTTCCATACTCGTATGCTCGATATCCATGACTTCGCTTGATGGGAAGTATAAATTGTCATTAATCAGCGTGTCTCTTGTCAATCCTTCTCATTATTGACTTAATAGTCCTTGTAGAGCTCCTTTAAAGGCTCATTTTGCTTTCCTTTTACGCATAGATGTCTAATATGCTAGCTAATGGGTAAAGTTTGTAAACCCAAGCTAATGTTCTCTTGATCAATCAATAAGAGAAGGAGTAAGAGCCCTAAAATGTTCATTTAGTATTCGTACTCAAATCTAGTATGGAAACCCCATATATCGTGTGTATGATTGTCTTCTTTTCCCTCCCATTCTGGTTCTCTACATCCTATGCTAATCTTGTTGTATGTCTAGTATTTTAGCATGATTCGAAGTCGACTTTGGAGATCAATATCTTTGGACCTTTTTCAAACTCTATGATTGAGCATGTTGAAGCATTATTTTATTCAATGTCGGAGTTTAGATTTAGGAATCAAGGGGTTCAAAATTTTACAGTGTATTATAGAAAATAATAGAAAAAGAATAATAAAAAAGGAAAATCATTTAAGAAAGAAACTTTAATTTAATATTATTATTATTATAAACACATAAAACATTATATTAGATAATTAGAATTACTCAAAATAGAATTCAAACTGAAGTTTCTAATTTTACAAGTTCAATGAGTAAATTAATTATGTAAAAAAGGCAATAATGCATTTTAATGAGTACCATACTACCATGTTCTTCAATATCTTTATAATCAGAAAATGAATGCTCGTTTAATTAGCAGTGTTCGGCAAAAAAATTATCAGTTTTATCCAAGAACTTACATTACGTAATTAAGAACTTAATTGACGCAATTTGAACCTAAAGGAGTTAAAAAAAAGATATAAAGTCACATTAATAAATTGATATTTTTTCATAGAAAAACTAAAAAGATTGAACTAAATTTACATATTTAAGGACTTAACTGATATAATCTGAAAATAAAGTACTAAGAAAGAATTATATGAAATTTCACTAATTAAATTGAGTCTTTGCAAAACAAAAAATGAAAATGCCAAAAAATTGTATTTAGCTGCATGGGAGTTTTGAACCCTGATCACCTAAAAAATTAAATTCTCAATGATATCCAAGAATTTAGTTTTCTTATTGAAGAGCTTAATTGACGTAATTTGATTGTAAAGGACTTTATTAAAAAGATATGAAGTCCAATGACTATACTAAATTTTTCAAATAAAAACAAAACATTGAAGTAATTGGCATATTTATGGACATATTTAATTAAATTTTTTTAATAAGATAAGTCACAGTACATTATCGGACAATCACAGATGGTATAACAATTATTTATTTGTTTTATTGTATGAATGGTTTATTTTAGTAGAACCAATTTAATTAAATACAAGAATTGAAAGTAGTGGTGATATTTCGGCTGTTGATGTTTTGGGGAGATTTATCGTCGGTTGACATTTATTAAGCGTTTGTTTGTTTGTGCTTGTTCCGCTTTTTAAGCAAAACCCAACCATGAAAGCGTTTTAACTTAAAGCAAAACAGCGGGCGCTTGGAACGGCTACGGTGCTAATTGTACAATAGTTAGTACCGTCCTAACCAAGGGAAAAACTACTACTAGTTTGAATTAGTAGTGATTTAGCTTAGATGTTGTATTGATTTTATAATAATCCGTAGTGATTTCGTTATTTTTAGTAGCGTTTTTTGCTAGTTATCACGGTGCTAACCTCTATAAGGGTTAGCACCTAATCCCATCCCCGGGCGCTTACATTTCACTGTCGGTTAATAACCGCCACTATAATTTACCGTCAGTCGTAACCGCCATGAAATAATTTAGTTCGGCAGATATTTTGACGGGTAGTTTTAACCGTCGGAAGCCATTTTACTTTCGGTCGTAAACCTTGGCCAAGTCCAAAAAAAGAAGCTAAAACCTAGTTCTGTTGTAGTGGACCTTGATTATGTTTGTGGTTGTACATAATCCGTGTTAGTAAATGGTATATGATTCACGTTTGAAATTCTTCCAATCTCTTTTGCGACCGAAAGGTCTCATGTTCGAATCACGACGATCCCCATCGTATTCTGTTAAGCACATGGTGTCCGGACCTGTGCCTGTGCAAACTTCAAGCCTATCTGAGTGGTTTGAGGTGGCTTGAATTTGAGTGAGTGTGTTAGTAAACGGTATATAATTTACGATTGAACTTCTTCCAACAACTCGAGTTATTAGTATCAAGTGATTATTGAAAATCCGATCGGGTTAGTTCCATTATCATTGGAGTTTTACACAAGCAGTCGCTTGCCAAAACGTGATCCGATCACTCTTCCCAGATTGCACATGATTTTCTGGTGGGCTTGTTTTTGTCTGAGACTAGCTTGTGAGGCAGTGGAAATGATTCCCTCTCATTAATTACCTTACCACTACCAAACGAATGCACGTTTCATTTGTCATTATCGATCGCTAACCCTAATCTATAATCAGTCCAGTTCCAGTCCCTTTGTAATATTAAACAATTAAAATGAATCTTTGGAGGTACATACCAGATGGACAACGCAGCCACAGCAACTTCAGCATCCTTGAGGTATCCAGCAAACAGTATCAATACCATGAAGTACCAGATCTCCAAGCTGCACCCAACAGACGTATATACGTACACGGTCGTTATTGTTTGGATCTTGTCTCCATCTATACTTAATAACACACAAATAATTACGCCGTCCTTCTTTAATAATCGGTTGCGTTCATTATTACCAAGTACAAAGTTTTCTCAAGACTGTGTACTAGAATTGCTTGGTTTCTTTTGTGAACTATATATATATATATATATATATATATATTCAGTCAATTTATCCAAGTGTAGTCAAGTACTCTACAAGAATTAACAATTGCCACCAAGGCACCAACCAACCAACAACAACAACAACAAGCAAGCACTACCTGCCTGGTTCAAACTTATGATTAATTAGTTTAGATTCTGTTGACATTATTATCATTCTTCTTTTTCTGGAGATACGTAAAGGTTCTTCTTTTCATTCATTGATCCACCTTAGTAACTTTATTTTAAAAGGGAGTAAATATATATGTAGTACCAACTACCAGTCATATAATTTTCTGATCACTTTTCAGTATCCCACGTTTCCCCGATTTTCAGAAAAGGGGATTTATAAAATAAATTATATGCATATGTCGTAGTCAAACTCAAAAAGGATACTATACATATATATATATATTATTTAATTTCGACCTGAATCCTGATTCCTGAACCACATGTATATGAAGACTCGACTTAATGATTCCAAACACCCACCCACCCACCCATATGTACACGTTAATTAATGAATGAAGGGAATGGGACAACCAGCCCTATCTCTCATTTTAATTCCTCCTCTGCCTACTACCTAGCTATCTCTTAATTACGCTATCGCAAAACACAAATACGAATGAATATGCGGTTCATATTAGAAAGTAGTCGACTTACCAAACCATAACCGCCGACGCAAGCGACAATCTAACGAAACCCCACAGATTGTGGAACGCCTGCCACGTGAACCCACTCCAAGCCCTCCCGCACCTCCCGCCCACGATGTACACCAACTGCGACGCAACGATGAACCACCACGACGCGTTCAGCACCACCGCCGCACCGCCGAGACCCCACCCCAGCTTCACCACCAGCAGCCAGCTGAAGGCGGCATGAAATGCCAGCGCCGCTCCGCCGATCCCGGCCCTAACCGCCATCTTGCTCTGCGCCTGCAGGAACTTGGCCATCGGGTAGTTCATCGCGTAGGCGAAGAGCTGCGGGAGCATCCAGATGGCGAACACGCCGGCGGCACGTGAGATGGACGCGGTCTGCCCGATCAGGAGGAGGAACGGGGCGGCGAAGATGTACATCAGGCTGAGGAGTAATGACGTGGCAAGGAGGATGACCCACGATCGCTGCATGTACACTCCTAACATCTCCAGCTGTCCTGCCCCGTAGGCTTGCCCGCATAGTGTCTCCAAGGCGCTTCCCATGCCCAGCTGGATTCAAAAGACAAATCATAAATCAAACAGTAACAGTAACAGTTAGAACAGGTCGGAACAGATCGGAAAAAAATTATATGATTTACTAATATGAAGTGTATTAATTAGATGTGTGTTAGCTTACGTCGGATGGCAGAAATAACACTTCTATTATATTTAGGAAAATACAAATTATTCAAACAAAAAAAGAAAGATAATATGTCTTTAAAATCGTAACAAGAGCAACGGATACGAGGTTGATCTAATTACGAAAATATAAAAACTGAATGTTTTTTTTTTTTTTAATTCGTAAAGGTTGTCTTTGTCAAACTGGCGCAAAGTATACGTATCCTATACAATAACAATACCATGGTGCCTAAGGAGAAGCCGGCGATGACAGAGTTCTCAATGGAGACGGCGGCGAGCTCGAGGGTGCCGACGTGGCCGGCGAAGACTTGCGTGACTGCGCCCAGGGAGTACTGGCAGATGGAGGTAAAGATGGCGGGGCCCGCCAGGAGCCAGAGCTTGGATGATTCGGCGACGAACTCTCTGGAGAAGTCACGGATGTTTCTGATTGGGGGAATGTCACCTGCGCCGCCAACAAAGGAGGCAGTTGTGGCCCTGTTTCTTGGAATAAGCAGTTGGTCGCCATGGTCATATTGGCCCTCCGTCGCCTGAGAAAGAAGCGGCTCATTGTAATCAGCCATAGAGAGAGAGAGAGAGAGAGAGAGAGAGAGAGAGAGAGAGAGAGAGAGAGAGAGAATTGGGAAGGGTTTTGCAAGAATAATTGCATGGTAATCACTTTGTATAAATGGAGGCCTAGGGCGCCAACAAGGAAAAAGAAAAAAGAAAAAAAAAAGGATGTGGTCATGATTATAATAATAATCTCGGCAGCATGTGTAATATGGATTATAGTTCCATAGAGTTGGGACAACTCTTTGGTAGTGAATTAATGTATATTATCCATCGAGAAGGTTAGTACTCGGTAACTTTTGATTAAGGCTAGAACCTAACGCTCTGGAATTTACATTATGGCTAGATTAGGGTTATAATTTAGATTGTATGTTCAATTAAAAATAGAACCTAAATTTTCTCAAATTAGAACTATAATAATTTCAATCATGTAAAATTATGTTTATGTTATTATTAGCTTTTAATTGGCTCAAGATAGGGTGCATATAACCAAATATGAACTCTTCTTTAAAGTGGTTGCAGATCTAAGGGTAGAGAATTAAAAGAATTTATTTTTCCTGGTTTTCTCGATTGGATCATATCTTTTTCATTATAACTCGGATTTTAATTTTTTTTTTTTTGCACAGATGGAACGAGTTTGTTGTACTCTACAAAATCATATCCATATTCAATATTTTTTGAGAAAAAAAATTTCATACCTCTCGTTACCAACTATATACAATATGGTATCTCCTTCATTTTTTAGTCGTTTTCGAAAAATTTTGCACAGAATACACGATTTATTCATGATCTATTTAATTTCAAATTTTTCTGGATGAAAAAATTTCATACCTCTCGTTACCAACTCCATACCATAGTATACCACCCTGGTATGGGGTGGTATTTTTCATAACATATGGTATGCTGTTATATAATACCAGTCAATACCATATGGTATAGACTGGTAATAACTGGCAAATTTATTTTTGTTCCAAAAAGTATCAAAGCGGATATAATTTTGAAGATCACAATTAATTCCGAGTTAAAACGAATGAGAAATCGTCTGTTAAATATTAAGAGAAGGAAAATTAAAGGTTTTTCGAGTAGAGAGAAGGAGGTGTTGATGTGACGGATTCTTATTGGGTTATGCATGGAGTTATAACACCACAAGGTTACTCACTGGATCTGCTCTCTTTTAATTGTACATAAGGTTAAAAAATTTACACTTTGTATTTGATTGGATGGTGAAATAATAAAACATACGAAAAATGAGAATATATTGCTACCATCACATTAATGGAATAACCACTGCATCATAATGGCAGGAAGAATATATTAATTATTAATGCACGAGTTTAACAAGCAGTTCTCCATGGGGCAAATGAAGGTGGATTCATCCCACCATTGGTCCATTTTTCAAACTCAATCAAATTTATGTCCACATCCTCTTTATATCTCCACAACCACGAACACCCACATCCTTATATCACCACATCCCTGAAAACCAAGATATGCCACTTCTATCACTTTCCTACTACAACCTCTAAATCCCCCCCCCCCCACCCCTCTTCTTGTCCTATCCTGATATGGCAAACCTGGGCATAACCGATATCCTACAAAAAACTGAATCCCTTGGTATCTTAGACTCCATACTCCGTTTCAAACCTAAGAAGAACAAACAAGATAAAACCCAGAGTGAGATTTTGGTCAACAAGCTGCTCACCGAGAAGAAATACAATGCAGGAACTCACCCTAGACAGAAATTGGAAGGAGATTAGGCATCCGACATTTATAGAGATTGCGAAAAACACCTTGGTCATCTCCTTCAAGTCCCGTGAAGACAAACTCAAAATCCGGGAAGCTCCTCCTTGGAAAATCGCTGACGCCCTCCTTTTGCTGCTTGATAGAAGGGATCATGGCAAAATCAAAATGGAAGAGTTGAATTTCAATAGAACCCTGATCTGGGTTCAAATCCACAACTTCCCAGGAGAGCTTAGATCTGAGGAAAATATTGCAACCCCGCTGAATGAAATCCTTAAAGAGATCATTAGGGGTGACGAAATGGGAGTTGTAGAAGGACGCTAGGTTAATTTCATTAGGGTTGTGGTTGAGATTGATTTTTCTAAACCATTTTCCCCGGGCCTCTTAGTCCAAGACGACTGTCCCCTTGATATCTAGATTGAGTTCAAATATGAACGCCTTCCTACTAATTTCTGCTACTGCTGCGGCCGAATAGGCCATTCTCAGCTCCTCTGCCGCAATATAGAAGAAAGAGTTAAAGGCCGCTACGGTGACTGGACCCGAGCAGGTCATCACTCGCCTTCATTCCCTTTTACAATCTCTAACAAAAGCACCCCGAGTATGATGGAGAGCAAGTCTGGAGATAATTTCTCAGGAAAGGGTGACTGCTTAGTTGGCTAGCTCCTTGTCAGAACGCTCTCTAGAGGCCATGGGCCGTGGCTCCCTAGGAAGAGAGAGAAAATCTGAAGGTGGTGTCAGAACAAAAACCCCTTCCCATGTGGGAGCAACGACTATCTCTGACTCGCCTAAGGAAAGTGGAGGTCATCCTCCGGATTTTGGGCATCCTAGACTGCAAAACGAAGGTAGCCATATCTACAAGCTGAAGGAGGCGGCAGATTGCTCCTCATACAAACCGTGAAAGCTCTTTCCAGACTCTACTGGGTTCAATAATGGGGAAGAGAAAACCCTCACATGATGGAATAGGGGTAACGTTCTGCTAAAAGGGCTAGGGACAACATTAATGTGGGCCCGAAGGCAGTTGGCCCTTTCCCAACTCACTTCAGTCCACTGATGGGCCAACAAGGCTTCTACCCCAGTCCAAACTATCTCAATATGCTACAGGAAAACCTGATGTTCTATCAAGGCCACGACCCTTATATGTTATCGGATAATATACAAATTGAAGCCCAATATCTGAGTCCCTGGGGACTGTGGAGTGAGCAGCCGAGAAAGAAAATCAAAGCTAGCATGAAAAGGAAGACTGGAGTTTCCATACAAGAGAAATAGGAGCATAACACTATGCAAAATGTAGTTAATGAAGAAGGTATTTATGAAGGGAGAGACCCGTCTGAGGTGCTGGTAGCTCACCAACAGCCACCCAAGGCTCCATGACTGCAATCTGCTGGAACTGTCGTGGCTTTTGCACTAACACGGCAGTCAAGCATCTAAGGGAAATGATCAGATCCTACAAACCTATGACCATTTTTCTTATGGAAACTAAGCAACCGGAAAATGAAATGGAAAAGGAAATAAGGAGGGCCAAATATTGCAACAAGTGGTACCTCAATCATGTAGGTAGTAGGGGTGGGTTTGCTCTTTGGTGGGTGAAATGGCTAGATATCAATGTATTAGACTCTTCGAATTTTTTCATTCATGCTTTGGTTAAGTTTAGGGAAGGCTTCTTTTTTACTTTCCTCCATACTCCTAATGATGCCAATGTTAGGAGGGCCTTTTGTGATGAATTGAATAACTTTAAGCCTATTAATGACTGCCATGGCTTTTGTTGAGGGATTACAATGTTGTCCTAAGCAATTCATAGAAGGAAGGAGGCAACCCCATGGGAAATAACTCCACTGAGCCTTTCAAATAGTTCATTTTTAATAATGAACTTATGGAAATTGTGTGCAAAGGACCAAGGTTCACTTGGTCGAATATGCAACAAGGTGAAAGGAAGATGTTGATTAAGTTGGGCAGAGCCCTTTTCTCTCTAACATAGAGAGAAGCTTTCAGCAATGTTGTAATCTTTAATGAGGCTATGGTTGGCTCGGACCATTGTCCGTTGAGATTGGAAATGTTGGGAAAGGAAAGAATCATGAATGCTATTTTCAGGTTTGATCATATATGGATCAATTATGAGAATTGTGAAGAGATCATCAAAAGAAAATGGCAGAAGGATGGCAATCATAATTCTATCCTTATTAACTGTAGCAGAGAGCTGAAAACCTGGAGTAAGGAGAATGTTCACAATGCTGTCATGAGAATAAGGGAGATTGATGAGAAGCTGAAAACCATTTTAGAGTTGACTCGTGACCCAACTTTTGAAGAAGAAAAAGCTCTTCAGCTGGAACTCATTAAACTGTAGCGGGAAGAAGAAACCTTCTGGAGACAACGATCTAGGATCGATTGGCTACAGGGAGGAGAAAAGAAATATTCTTCCATACATCAACTATTCAAAGAAGTCTAAAGAACAAAGTGACTAAGCTTAAGGATGAAGGAAATAATTGGATTGAAAATCAGATTTCCCTCCAACTTCATGCTGTCAACTTTTACAGGGAGCTGTTCAAAAAAAGTGACACTAGGAATGGTCTTGAACTCATTAGAGAGATACCCTGCATTTTTATTGATGACATGAACCATGCTCTTTGTTGCCCAGTGAAAGCCAATGAGATAAAGGCAGTAGTCTTTGACCTTGGCTCAACCAAATCCCCTAGACCGAATGGTTTCCCTGGTTTATTCTATAGAAAATACTTGGACATTGTGGGCAACCAATTGTGCGAGGAAGTGAAGCATTTCTTTGAATCAATCTCTATGGTTGAAGGTTGGAATGACACACATCTCATCTTTATGCCAAAAGTCACCAACCCAGAAAGTATCTCACAATTTCGTCCGATTAGTTGATGCAACTTTTGGTACAAAGTCATATTTAAGATCATGAAAACGAGGCTTAATGCTTGGATACCAAACTTAGTATCTGAAATGCAGTCGGCCTTTGTGAGAGGTATACCAATCCAAGACAACGTCATCATTGTCCATGAGGTGTTACATCATATGAAAACTAGACCAAAAGGAGGAAATTGTGATATGGTGTTGAAGTTGGACATGAAAAAGGCTTTTGACATGGTTGATTGGGAATGCCTGGACGAGATCCTCAAGGCAATGGGTATTGCTTATCAATGGTGTCTGTGGGTTAAGGAATGTGTGTGTTCAGTCCGTTTTCCTGTTCTATTCAATGGTCAACCTTCACCTTTTTTCGCACCATCTAGAGGAATCCGTCAGGGAGATCCTCTTTCTCCCATCCTCTTTATCTTGCTCACTAATGCTCTATCTTTCATTATTGAAAAGAATGCTACAAATGGACTTCTTAAGGGAATCACCTTAACTCCAAACTATCCAAAGCTTACCCACATTTTGTTTGCAGATGACACTATAATTTTCGGGAAAGCTTCTCTCTCATAAGCCATGGTCATCAAGAACATGATTGAGGACTATGGTGGTATGACGGGGCAAATTATCAACAATGAAAAATAAGATATAATCTTTTGCACAAATTCTCCGGATCCGATCTCGAGCCTGATAGCTGACTTCCTCAACATACCACAATCTGGAGGAATGGGTAAATACCTTGGGGGTCCCCTCCGAATGGGGAAGATCAAAGAAGGAAGTGTTTGATGGACTCGTTCAGCATATGGAAAATCTTGGGCAATCTTGCAAAAACTTAGCACTTTCCCAAGCGGGAAAAGAAACCCTCCTCAAATCTGTCTACCAAAGCTACCCAACCTATGTGATGTCTTGTTTTCTGCTCCCTAAAAGAACTAACAACATCATGTACTCAAGACTCAAGACTTTCTTCTGGGGAGGGAACTTAGAAAAAAGAGCGATCCATTGGCGTAAAGGATGTGTCCTTACGACAGCTAAACAAGACGGGGGAATGTGATTCAAGGACTTCCATCAGTTAAATTTGGCCTTGCTTGCCAAATAAGGATGGAGGATCCTTAACGGGGAACATGAAATTTGGGTAAAACTTCTGAAAGGCCTCTACTTTCCTAATGTGAACTTCATGGATATAGGTAAAGGAAGAAAACCATCGTGGATTTGGTCAAGCATTTGGGAAGCAAGGAAAATTCTCAAGTTAGGAGCAAGAAATAACATGGGCAATGGAAGGAATGTCAACCTTGAGAATGATCCTTGGATCCCAAGAATTCTAGGATTTCGACTCCAAAGCAACCAAAGGCAATAGCTTAAGGCTTTCGAATGGGTTATGAATGATAGAAATGAATGGAACCTGGACCTTATTGAGAAATCTTGCCTCCCTCAGAAAGTTATAGCAATCAAAAGGATCCGAATCGGAACGAGCACCACAGGAAATGCTTGGGTCTGGCTTGATGTAAAATTAGGTTCTTTTTCTGTGAAATCTGCATACCACAAGGCCAGGGTCTAAGAAAGAATCAGAAAAGGGTCTGAAAATCCCAACCATACAGTTTGCTCCTACAAAGCCTGGTTGTGGAGCCTTTCTTTGCCACAAAAAATTTGGAACTTCATTTGGAAGATTACTAGAAATGCTATGGCTACTAAGAAAACCTATGGTTCCGGAGGATCATCCAGTCTCCAATCTGCACAGTTTGTCAAGGTGGTATCGAGGATGTGTGGCATTGCTTCTTCTGTTGTCATCATGCGTGTAACATTTGGCATACCAACTTCCCATCACTTCAGCTCCCTGAAACTACTACACCTATTCTCATGTGGCTGTTTCACCTTCCTGAGGTGGCTCCCTCTCTCTCTCTCCATCATTGCTATAATGGCAAATCTCTAGCCATCTCAAATGCATGAAATGATCTAGTCTTCAAGAGGATTAAATCCCTTTTTCAGACTACAACAGTGAAAGTTGGCACCCTCTTCTCAGATTGGAACAGAATCCACCTGACCCGTCCAATCATCTTCTCCCAGCCCCCCCCCCCCCCCCTCTAACCTTGATCCACCGCCTAGTTTCTTTCAGTTGAAGATTAATTGTGATGGAGATTTTGTCTCAGATTCGCAACTGGCAGCTTATGGTGTTGTCATTCGCAATACCCATGGATAAATGGTAGACGGAAAGGCTGGAACCCTCTTTTGTTCATCATCGATTGTGGCGGAAGCAAAAGTTTTATTAGTCGCACTTCGTTTGGCAGCTTCTACAGGATGCTGCCGTGTTCTCGGATTGTCAGATTCTCACAAATGCTCTTTCTCGACGAGGGGCTGTCTAGCTATGGCAAGTCAGGTCCTGGCTTCACTGCATGCGACAAATCCTCTCCTCAAATGATTCTTTCATGGTTTGTTTTTCTCCGAGAAGTAAAAACAAGTGCGCAGAC